ACACAGAGGATGCCAGTGTCAGACAGGAAAAGAAGCCTTAATAGTCTTCAATACGATCACTCTCATGTCGCAGAGGGGGAAACTGAGGCTGCTAGATGCTGAGCTGTAGCCCAGGCCCCTGCATCTAAATTCCTCCCTGGGGCCAGCCATCCTGAAGGACACAGGGCAGTAATGAGAACGGAGCACGAGGAATCCTCCACAAGTACATCTCCCGCAGGGGACGGCGTGTCATCTCAGAAGGTAGCTCACTCCCAGTGCTGGCTTGAGAGGTAACCCTGGGTAGAGCCCCTTTGGGGGATGCTTCCCATTTTGTCCAATTTGAACACTACCTTCCCGCCTTCTGCTTTTATCAGCAGCCTGGCTGTAGGTTATGACTCAGTGCTGTAGGGACAGAATTCCCAGCGCTGCTGAACACTGCCTCCAGCCAGCGTCTGTTGGGGTGGGGGTGAGGGTGTGCGGTGGGGAGTTATCATTTGACTGATACCACATTTTTAAACTGAAACCTAAGGCCTGGTGTATGTTATGTTTTTTAAAAAGGGGGAAAAGGACAAGATAATTTCCACATCGCTGGGGATGCAGCCTACATTGCCTAAGAGGTCTTGTGGGTGGTTCCTTTTAACAAGCAAGTCATTATGTGCTGGGGGATGAGGGTGCCGGGGTGGGAAAGTGGGAAAGGGAAGTCCCGGGGTGTTGCCTAATCACACATTGGCACCTTGGGAATACTTCCGGATGTGTGGGCTTCTGAAAAGTGAATGGGAATGCCACCATAAATCTGTCACCCACCCTCACACTGGTGTCACCAAACCCAGGGAAAACACTGGCCCAACTAAACAGTCGGGGACAAAAAATAATGAAGGGGAAGAAGAGAAAGGAAGGAAGAAGGGAGGGAGGAGAGAAGGAAGTCATCCACTTAGATGGTGGGCAGAGGAGTAGAGTAGAAAAAGCAGGGGGTCTCTACTCAGTCTGAGATGGGATCACACCTCTATGAGGCCTGTTACCTTGGTCCAGTTAAGACATCATAATAGGTCTTAGATCCCTCATCTGGGTATAAGAGTCCTTTCACAGGCTCACACTAAAGAAAGGGGCGTGACACAGGACATACACCCCACCTAATGGGTGACAGTCAATGGTGGTTGTTGCTGCTACTCATCCCCTACCCCCACCCCCACACCTCCACAGACATGGGGTAAATAACAGTTCATGTACATCAAGTACATCCAACTTGCTAAGAACGGGGCTAAACCTTATAGCATCTTATGACAATAATGTTCTGTCAGGATTCTAAGTGACAATCAACAGAAACCAACTTTGGCCAACTGAAGCAAAATGAGCAAACAAAAGCTATTCAGAGAATATTGACAGGTTACAGAACACTCTCTGGGAGGGCCAGAGAGCCAGGCTTGCACACTCTGAAGCCCAATTCTAAGCTCAAGATCAGGTCCCAAGACTGGTCTTGTGAAGATATTAGAACATGGTCACTTTCACACTCTGGCCACATGCTGTCACTGGTACTTTAGGAACACACGGATGATAGCCATACTTATCAGAATGACTGGGGGAAAGTGTGGCTCTTTACACTCAAGCTGTAAAGCGGAGTCGGGGAAGGAGACTTCTGGATTTTCAACTTCGGTAGAGGGCTTGGGCTCTGCCCCATTATTATTACATCAAGGAGCATTATTTCCTAAATCTAGGAAGGAGATTCAGAGAGTAAGTTTCCAAAATTATTGATAAATATCTTCCACAGTTGAGTCCCAGGACTTCCACCATTGTTTTTGGATGAGAACACCGACGTTCAGCTAAGGTCGCACGTCTAAGCCATAGTGTGAGCCCAAGACAGCCTCACTCGAGCCGGTTCCCTCAGCCACTTGTCTTGACAAACATAATGATGAAACCAGTCCACCTCAGCAAAGCCTCCCACACGCCAGTGCCATTTCTCTGACTCACTGAAGCTGCCTGTGGTGGGAGCCAAAAGACTCTCTGTCTATTCTTCAGCTGTTCTTAAGGGACGATGGTTTTCTAGACTCAAAGGCATGGAGTTTGTCCTTGGAATGTAGTCCCCGGGAGTTGGGATCTCTGGGTAGACTCCTTAATTCTTGGAATGTCCTGTGTCTCACTGAGTCTCTATAATGGAATTCTAACTGGTGAGGGCGGGGGTGTAGCTGAGGTCGCTTCTCTAACACAAACCATATTCCACATACCAGGTAATACGGAGTCCTCCCTGGACGCCATCCACACCACTGGCCATTCTGTATCCTGGTCCATTAATTCACTAGACAAACTGTTCTAAGGCACAGTCTTCCTTGTTCGCCTCAAAACCCTACAAGACCAGGAGTCACCTTTTTTTTTTTTTTTTTTTTTTTGCAGGTAGCTCACCACCGTCTGAAGTCAGACTCTGGGTTTGCGTCCTGGTTCTACTATTTAACTGTGTATCCTTGGTTCACCCCTCAGGCTTCAGCTGCCTCTTGCATAAAAGCAGGACCATAAAAGACTGTCATGAAAATAAGAATTTATAAATGTGCTCAGTGCATCATGGGGGTTTGATAAATATTGTCATTGCCAGTAGAACACTTAGCATCTAGCACAGAACAACAGTGTGTAAAGGAGACCTAGGAGGGCCCAGATCTCACCTTTGTGACACCTGCCTTGCCTTCGCCTCTTTCTGTTTAAGCATCTCGGTTAACACAGTTAACAAATCACTGATCTAGTCCCGAACAGTCATTCTGGCCAAAGCTGAGTCGGGAACTTAGGCCCGCTAAGACTGGACTCGCTGCCCAGTGCTATATCTAAGAGTCTCCCAGGCCCCACAGCTGTCTGCTTAAAAGTCAGTTCTTTCTCTTAGAAATGGCGAGTCATGTCGTAACTGTCACCTCCTCTCTGGACCAGACTCAGAAAACCAAGAGTATGAAAGACTTCCAATCCATGAGCCAGGAGGCCAGCAAAGATCCGCAGGAGGCCAGATTAGTAAATATTTTAGGCTCTTTGGGTCATAGTGCCTCTGCTGTACCCGCTCAGTAACTTGTAGCAGGAAAGTAGCCACAGACAATAGGTAGAGTAACGAGCATGCTGTGTTCCAGTAAGACTTTACTTTCCAGTAGAGGCAGTGGGCCAGTGTGGCCCAGGACTATAGTTTGCAGACCCCACCATGCATGATGAACTTCCCCCTGGAGGAGGGACCCTTGTTTTCGTGAATTGCTGCACAGCTCCAAAGCACCCCAGAATGTGGGCGTCAGGCCACCCGAGCATCTCTTTGAAGGTCCCCTATCCTACCTTCACCACCACACCCTCCCTTCCTTCCAGAAGCACCTCAGTTACATGCCACCTGAGTGCGAGCAAAATAGATATTTTCCAGCAGGATCTGGGAGTGCTGCTGGGTGTCACGAGGATGGAGACAAAGGCAAGTAGCTCGTGGGAATGGCAAACAGCTACACACCTTGGAAAGAACACAAGTCGAGTACAGGTAAGGCCGTTAGAGACCACCTAACCCAATCCTTTGACGTTTCCACCAGGTAAACTGAGGCCCAGACTTAGGGAAGCAGCAGCTTGGCCAGGGTTACACAGCAACTTCTCGGCACAGTGAGGACCAGAGCCTGGTTTTTCTAACTTTCGGCCCAGACTCCTTCTGCCATACCACTAGGCAAACGTCAAGTTTTTTTTTTTTTTTGTTTTTTTTTTTTTTACCGTGGACCATGCTCAAATCAGCAGAGCCAAGAAAATAGCCTTCTGTCGTTTAAAAACCCGAGGTCCTGCCTGGAAATTCTTGTCTTTCCTTCCTCCACATCTTCCTTTCTTCCATTCACAGTTAGCTGTGGGACACCTCTTATTGTGTTGCTGAGCCCACACTTAGTGCCAAGGAGACAGGAGATGCTCGACCCATGTGTGCTGAGGACGGACTAAGGGTGCGTGGTGAAGAGCTCACAGTGCTCACAGTCCCCCAGGAGAAGGAAGGTCTAAATGCGTTCCCTGTAATGCACTGTGAATGTGAGGACCCGATGACATTTCCTTTCCTTTAGTCTTCCTAGAAAATTGCCTTTCAGTGTGAAATCTTCCCACCAGTGTTTTCATGCCCTCAGTAGCTGCCCCTTCCCTCCTTGGATAGAGCACCTCGGTCTTTTGTACTTGCAAATGATTGTGATTATTTTTCACCTCTAGCCCAGGGGATTAGCCCGAGGACCTTTGATCTTCAGGTATCGATTTGCATCTTAAAGGAAGTATGATCTCATCTGAGCCAGCTCAAAATTCCATCCCTGCCCCCCAACCCCTGTCTGTTTACCAGCCCCGGGCTGGTCAGGGCCTCCCAAGTGGGACTATAACAACAAGACCAGCGAGAAGCCAGAGGAAAACAAATTTCCCATCTGACTCAGTAAAGGTGGGAAAAGGACGTTTGCTTTCTAAACACAGGCTGGTCTGCTCTTCCTCTACTCTCCCGTCAGAGACGCGGCCAGAGGTTCTGAGCGTGCCAAGGGGACTACCGGGGTTCTGGGATCTTGGCGGGAGGTCGTACAGCAGAAAGAGCTGGGCGCGTGCTTAAGAATCAGGAAGAATCAGATTCAAGCCCTGGTTCTGTCTCCAATCACTCCTAACCCAAGAGTTTCTGATCACTTTCATCATCTCTCTGGCTTGTGATGTTTTCTTATCTCTAATGCAAGAATACTAGCCTTTAAAATTCTATACTCATCACCCTCCTGGAGAGCTGGCCTGAAAAAGAGCGATGGTGTACGCAACGCGAAGCTAGCTTAAAAGTTACCAGCAGCCACTGCTGTCGCACACACGGGAGGGACTCTAAGCTCTGTGAGGGCAGGAGCATTTGCTGGTTTTCCTTTGCTTCTTATTGCTCTATGCCCCGGTGCCCCCCACAGGGTCTGGCCCACGGGAGGCGATCTGTCAGTGTTTTTAAGACTCAGGAGTAAACCATCATCAGTCCTCAGGACTGCTGTTATTGACCGGACCATCCCGCACGGTCCCCTTCTCCAGCTGAGCCCCAAGAAATGACACAGACTTACCAATGCAATTGAAGGAGTCTTCCTGTCGGCAGAAGAGGGAGCAGCCGTCACCGCTGAGCTTGTTCATGTCATCACACTCCTCACCTTGGCTTCTGCAGAAGGGACAGAAGAGAGATGTGTCAGAGAGACAGAGAGCGAGCAACTGCAGAACCAGGGCGGACCATGGGAGAGTCCCTCTCTAGGCCAGAACTTTCCAAGAGGCCTCAGGCAAGTCTCTCACACCCCAGTGTCCATTTCTTCTTCGTCCACGAGACGTATAAAGATACACATGTGTAAGACCCTCCAACCTCTGCCTGATTCTGTGCTGGCCGCAACGAAGCAGTGTTCATGCCTCAAACCTGTTGCTGGAGATCTTGCCGGTTAGGTCAGATGGGAGAAAGGCACGGATGAAGGGATGAAGGAACCAACCTTGCCCCCACCCCGCCCCCTGGCGTGTCTGGGAGATCTCGCCGCCGCCGTTTTAAATTGGTGGACGCGAAGGAAATTTCTGAGCTTCTGAAACATAAATTCTGTTCTTTACTATGCCCTACCTTAGCCTCCTCCCTGCTCCCAACTGTGAATTTAAGAATAAAGATTTCTTTTTTTTCCCCCGGTCACATGCTTGGGTCTGGTCTTCCTTTCACGAGAAAGTATTGCTTTCTCCATCCCGGGTGTCATTTCATGGTGTGAGGAACTCTAAGGCCCATGGGAAGTACGCTATTAGGAAATTAAAGTGTCTCCTCTTGTTTGTTCGTTTTGTTTTGATAGGAATTATTCCTATCAGCTTAGGGCGGTTCAGCAGAGGTTGGGACGGACAGAAACTGAGCAGTGCTGGACCGAGGAGATGAGGAGGAGGAGGAGAAAGTGCTGAAAACACCCAATAGATGATCACGACCTGGAAAATGCCCGTCCTTTGAGTAACAGAAAACTTGGGTTTAGAGCCCCTTATTTCAAACCAGCCGCATGATCTCAGACATGTCTCCCAATCTCAACTGGACCATTTAAATCAATAAAGACTAAAAATAACGTAAAATTCCATTCTTCAGTCGCAGTCGCCACAACGTAAGCCCTTGATCGTTGTACACGATCAGTAGCGAGTGGCTACTGAACAGAAGAGCACAGAATAGGTTTCCATCACGGCAGAAGAATCCCCTGGGCCACGCTATTCCAGACGCCAAGTGTCCGCGTTCCCACAGGTTCAAATGGCGATAACTCTACCCGCTCCTTAGAGCCGGCGCAAGAACGGAGTGGAAACTGACGTGGCAGGCACGGTGCATGACAGATAGAAGATGCTCAGGGAGTCAGGGTTCCCGTTCCCACTCAGTCCTGGGAGGTCTCTGCAGAGTGTGTGGCAGCTGTCCCTCCCTCCCCAGCGACCAGCCGGGACCCGTGGAAGCATGGAAGAGGCCTAAGACTTTTCCTTTCACTCGGGCAATTAACACTGGGCAATGTTTGTTGCTTTAAGGAGATGTCAGAGTAGCAGGAGGGGGCCTTGCCATCAATCCTTACAATGGTGGGGCCGGTGCAGGGATTTTTGAACTCTCCTGTCTGCAAATGCATGAACCGAGGAGAAGAGAAGTCCATATTCCAAGCTTAGCCCAGATTTCCAATCTCTGCCAGTGAACCTCCAGTGTTGGAAACTGGTGATAGCCTCGTGTTACTTAGCTATCTCATGGGTTATCTAGGGAGATATTTTTTTTTTTTTTAAACCTGGGCTTGTTTCCCAAAGCCACAAAGAACACATCTAACCTGCCAAACACTATGTCGTATTGGTTTAAGCAAAACGTTAGTGTCACCACAAATATCTTCTAGGTATGGCAGATCTATCATTACACAGAGAACTCCTGAGAAACCTTCTTTGACCTCCCAAGCTGGAGTGGGTGGCCATTTTCTCTGCATCCAAAGACACTAGGCTCCATCCATCCCAGCACTTGTCAAACGGACCACCTTCACGTGTTTATCCGACAGCTCCCCATACTGAGTTTTCAGATGCCAAAGGAAATGACAGTCTTTGTCATCCTAGCATCGCAATGCCGGGCACAGTGCCTGGAATACGGCAGAAAGCATGGAGCTGTTCCTTCACTTGTCAGTCTTGCAGGGCTGCTGGTGACACAGTGAGGCAATGGGGAATCCAAATGAGAACAGGGACCCCGGATTCGCATCTTGGTTCTGCTTTGTTGGGTGTGTGAGCTCGAGAAAGCCATGTCAGCCTTTGTACATCAGTTGTCTCTTCTGTAAAGTACAGTAATAGAACCGATATCATAAAATTGTCGGAAGGACCCAAGGAGATAATAGTGTAGCCCAACGCTAACACACAGTGAAGGCTCAACAAATATTTATGAATATTATCATTATATGTATCCAAAGCTTTTCTCCACTGGGGACTCATTAAGTTTTGATCCTGAGCATCTTTGTAAAGTCCCTTAAATACATAGAGCGAATCAGCACATATCATCCCGTGAAGAATCCAATTAGCTAAGATGACATTCGTCCTTTCCCTCAAAGTTTTTGTTTGTTTGTTTTTGCTGAGGGAACCAGCCATAAGCTGCATTTGGTTTTCTACAAAGCATGTCAACAACAACTATTTGGAAACCTAAGTGATTTCTGTGTAGGATACCAACTCTAGGTAAAAATACTAAAAAAGCATTATTGAGGGGTGCCTGGTTGGCTCAGTGGGTTAAGCCTCTGCCTTCCTTTCAGGTCATGATCTCAGGGTCCTGGGATCAAGCCCTGCATCGGGCTCTCTGCTCAGCTGGGAGCCTGTCCCCGCCCCCCACCCTGCCTGCCTCTCTGCCTACTTGTGATCTCTGTCTGTCAAATAAATAAATAAAATCTTTAAAAAATTTTAAAAACCTTGTTGAAAACACTACTTATATTAATAATAAAATAAAAAAATAAGAATAGTTTTAGATCAGCAAGAATGATATTGTTTGCAGCGTTCTACCAATATGTCTCTATATCTGGCTCCAAAATGGACAGACTGAGTTGTAGGTCAGGTTCCACATCTGGTGAGTTAGTTTCTTTCTTTCTTTCTTTCTTTCTTTCTTTCTTCCTTCCTTCCTTCCTTCCTTCCTTCCTTCCCTCCTTTTTTTGTATTCTTTGTGCTAAATTAGAAAATCCCAAATCACAATTATGTGTTGTCAGCAATGACCGCAAGTGTTTCCTGGATATTCTGGACATGCAGCTCAATCTTGGGCCCACAAATGATGGGGCACTCTCCCTGGAGACTGCCTTGCTCCACTGCTAGTATTCCATCAGACAACAGCTGTGTCCAGAGCCAGAGGGTGATGTCTTAATGTGGGAGAGAATGGTGAGTACTTCCCTTTCCCTAGTCGTGTTATCTTAAGCACCAGAAACTGTATCGTCCTGTTTGGTTGCTGCATCTGGACATGATTTTAACTGCACACAACAGCACACCATGAGTTTCCTTATCCGACAAAGGAGGAACTTTATCTTCTATGCTTGGCGAGTCAGATTCTTGGCCATCAGGTGGTTTGCTCCATAATTCCACACTCAGCAGGAACTTGTACATACCACCTTTCCGCACAGCCATGTTTAAAAGATGTACCATGCTGGGCATCTCCTGGGCATATATATATATACAACATTTGATCTCTCCTTCCATGTGAAGTCAGGACCAGAAAGCAAAGGGCTTCCGGATGTCTGGGTGGACGGGTATTCACGTGCAAACGCTTTACTTGCACAACCGGCGTTATCCTTGCTGTACTCCTGGCCAGTCCTTTCATCCCAAAGCAGGTTTCCAGTTTATATCCCATCCCACAAAATCATTGTTACCAAATGAAATTGCTCTTCCCATCCAGCACCAGAAAGAGTCATCTACCACTTCTCTTTCAAGTACGTACCACTCCTATGATTCACGGTCTACACATCAGCGGTTTCATCCAACTGTGACACGGATTCTCTTTACAGCACCCCTCCCCCTCCTGAAACAGTCCCTGCAATTCCACGTGGCCCAGATATTATACGACACCCAACAGCGCCATTTAATGAAGGGATTTCGCCAATAGCTGGTTTACCCTCTCCACGTGTGACGTTCGTCATTAAACTGGCCCATAGTTTTAAAAGTCTCTTAGCAATAGTGTAACTTGCAACCACGTTAGCAATAAGGAACACAATTTTAGCAATAAGAAACTTAACTGCAAACAGTTTCTGGTCTTGTTTTCACCTCCAGGGACAAAACTATTCTGTTTTGTGCCAGACAACATTTTTGTGCTAATTTGGGAGGAAAAAACTCAAAGGTTTAGTTTAAAAAAAATTTTTTTTTTTAAAAACAATGCAAGACTCTGGATGGCTTCTTGCCCCATTTCATAGTTGTGCAATATCTTGCCCTGTGGACAAGGGGATAAATGGACTGATGTCCCAGTAACATCCACGGTGCAAACATACAGCTTCCTATTCTCTACTCACACTTTCCCTTTTCGGCTGCTCGTGTGGAGTCTTTCACTTTCTGGTTCATTTGCCTCCCTGTACTTATTTATGTTCACATTCAGTATTCACTCTGGGGTACTGTTTGCTATTTATGGCTTCAACATTACCGTGAGTTAGAGTATTTTGTTATCTTTACGAGCTTTTAACCCATTTTGTAAATTATTCATATAAGACGATACAACAGAAATAACAAAGAAATACACAGTTTTAACAACTTGAAATGGTTAACCAGCAAAGAACGTAGAAGTGTTTTGACCCAGATGCCCTGGGTCCTATTAACGGAACGTTGGCTGGAGTGAAAAAGACAAACAGAATCCTTGCAGTAACCACAAAACAATGAAGAGAAAGAGCATACCCGTAGTAAGTGCACAATGATCGCTCTGTCAAAATCATGTATTGTATTACATACTTAAGAAATATACATGTTTGAAAAAGAACCACTGCGTTTCCTCCGAGGCCAGCAACTACTTGCAGACAAATCGACAGATTGCTAGCGATTGCTGGTAGCTCACAGCTCCCACACTGAAGAGCCTCCCATAAGCTCTCCTGGCCATCTCTTGACCTCACGAGCATCACTCCCCCCGCTCCCTTAATCACACCTACTTACTTCTGGATAATGCCATCACCACAGTATCCACTTCCATGGATGTAGATGGCAGCTGGCGATGGCTCACTCCCTTCACTTCCGGAAACAGTGATGACCCAGTACTGGTACACACTGCCAAGACTGAGATCCCTGGAAAACAAAGAAGGGTATTCACAAAGACGATTAGCTATACGGACACAATGCCCGGGGGTAGACAGAACTGATCCCCTGGAGTACATTCTATCAGTCTTGCTTGCGTTTGAAATCACATGCACATTAAGTTATCCAATAATACGAATTGTCTTCTGCGGTTAAGGCACTCTCCTATGCATGACGGACCACACCAAAATGTACAGCAATAATGACTAGCATCAAATGACAGACAGCCGTGAATATTACCGGGTACTTTTATCTTTAATTTAACCTTTATAATAACCCTGGTGGATAAGAACCAGATGGTATGCGGCCCGTAATGAAGGTGTTTGGGAGAATGTCAACCAGGAAAACAAAATGGGATAAGCAGACAGAGCTGGGAAAGTACCATGCCAGATTCTGTGGGCATCGGTCTGATCTTTTCCCTGCTTTCCATGCAATGAACAGAAACCCCATTCCATGTGAGCAGCCCCCTTCCTTACACTGCACATCCAGGAACTGTCCCCCACCCCTGCTCTTCTCGGTCTCTCACTCTTGACTAAAATAGTAACAATTGCAGCAGCTATTAACTGAATGTCAGGCTTGGGGCGACACACGTCCCATGTATTTTCTCATTCGAGAATCAAAGCAACCCTACATGTGCCCTCATGTTTTCATGTTTATTTTACAGATGATAAATCTGAGGCATAGAGAGGTTAATCAACTTACAATCATACACTACTGAATAACAGCCCGCATTCTGCCTCCCTAATCCCTAGTTTAGGCCTGTTTTAATAATCTCGTCCCTTGCAAAGAGGGATTCTGTCCTGAAATTACAATTCCAGGCGCTGGTGGTTGCCAGACCCTCAATTTGCCGAGTCTGCATCTCCCCTCTGCTCACAAGACCTCCCAGTGCAATGCCTGCTCCCACTTCCTCCTGCTCAACCTTCCTCCAGTTTTCCTCCCTCCCCTTCCTCAGCTCCTCTCAGCTCCCTGCTTGAATCCCTGCTGCCATCAACCCTGGCTGCTGACAATCACCCTCCAAGGTAGAGATATGTTTATGTCAGTTCCACATCACGAAATCACAATGCCCGTTTTCTTTTTGACCGTTTTCAAAGGGTGATGTTATTCCCCTTTTTAATCTCCCTCTGCATTAATGATTTACTTTTTAATAATAAAAAAGTACCATGGGGGAAAAAAACCCCACAAAATGATAATGAAGAGAATTCCTACTAGATTCCAGAGTTGGGGGGAGGGTGGGATTCCATACACAAAAGGATGATGTCAAAAAATCTCAAGTTCTCCTACCCGGGTATCTGTTGTTTCAGTTGCTGTTAGGGCTGGGGCTGTTTGGATAAGGCCAAGAAGGTAACAGGTGCAGAGGCAATGGGCAGCCAATGTCTCCTGACTCTCAACACAGCAATGAGTACGAGTTTATGAACGCTGAAGGACACCGGTGAGGAATATAACCTTCCGGAGAATGCCGGACCTGTTACCCCAAAGAGAGTCTGTTTTGGCAGTGCTGGAGCAGAAAGCAATTTTGGGGGTAGACCAGAAGTCCCTGTGGATTCCATCAGTGTTCTGTCAATGAAAGTTCAGTACGTAAAATGCATACGAATCTCGAGATATTATATGTATGAATGTATGAATAACTGTGGGCTTGTGAACTTCTGGGGTGCTAATTTGTGGATATAGGGTTTCTTTCTTCTGCTTAAAAACGTTTATTAGATATTTTAATCCACCTCTCGACTAGCACATGGATACTTTTTCTGGTGGTTCTTCTGAAAGTGAAATACCCTGGCAGTGGGGAGAGTGGTTTTCCCGGTGGATACACAGAGGCACAAGATAAAGACGACGCGGATTCTACTGTATATTCATTTTCCTCTAAAATATGGAGGCATGTTTTATATTAAACAAATATGGCCGTGTTAGGAAATAAAATAAGAAGTTTTCTTCAGGCTCCGTCGCAGGCCACTGGGGGCATATGGCTACAGTCTGAAGCAGATGGAGCACGTCTGTGGATCGCAGGAGGGTGTGAAAAGTACTTCTCTCCATTGTGTTTTTCATTTGTACTGTGTGTCACAAATGATTTATGGCTGATAATATTTAGGTGCTCTGCTAAGATTTGTGAACGTTTCCCTCCTCCCCCCATACTGCCCTCCCTCCTTCCTTCATCCTCCTCCTGTTTCTCGATAAACACAAGTCTGAGGCAAGCCAACATGTGTTTCTACCTGGCTTCTTTGCTGCCAAAGCCGAGAAGTCACAGGCAGGTGTTTCACTGCCCTGAATCCATTTCGAATTAGTCATCAACCTGACCTCACAGCAGTTTCCTACAGACTGAATGTGAGAACACAGAGAAAGCACATACGTGCCCAGCCTATGATGGTCAATAAATATTAACCCATTACAACGAATGCTTCAATGAATATTCTCGTTCACTGGAGTTAAGCTATGCCCTCTTTAGAGGAAAGGATGGAGTGACAGATAGCTACATGTAACCTCAGTTAGCCAAACCCACACCACCTATTGTGTGGGCCACAGCTTAGTGGAAAGTCTCCATCTTACCATGTCATTTGGCTAGAAGACCCTCTGTGCCTGCAGCTTGCTCTCACTCCATGCTCCACGTGGCTATTCCAATTTCTGAAAATTTGGGATCCCAGAAGGTTTGTCTTACCCTGGGGCAAAATCTGTCTCCCCATATCTTCCACCGACACCTCTTTCTCACCCACTAGCATCACACAGAACACTCTAATTAGTAGGAAGACCCTGATAAGCTTCCTTCTTCCAACTGTGTATGCATGGCTTATGCATCCTTATCTCACGGAAGCCTGCCAGCAGCTCTCTGAAACAGGGGTTGTTACCCCAAGTTTTCAGATAGACAATAGAAGCCAAGTCGCTTCCTTGGTAAAAAGCCAGAGAACGGGGCACAGTACGACTGCTATTAAAAATACTATGTTTTTCCACTGAAGAAACCTTGTGATAAAACTACATATTCTTCAAGTTGAAGTTAAAATTAATGCCAAATGAAGGCTCTTTGCTCAGTCATTTCAGGAGAATAGAATTCCTGCAGAAGGACATACTAGTGGCCTCTGAAGGCTTTGCTGGAGGTTAGGACCTATTTTGTGGATGGTCTAGAAGTGGGACATTGATGTCAAATTGTGCCTTTTAGCTGCTCCTAAAACCATCTGGGAAGTCTTACGCTGTCACTTGAATTCTTGCTTCTCCTGCACCTCCCACCTCCATGCAGACCCTAAACCCTGTCACTTTTCCCTACCCCAAAATCTTCCGTGTCATTTCCTTTACATCCCTGCTGCTGCCAATATCTCGACCTTGACGTCTGAACCTGCCCCTGATATTTCCCTTTTCTAGGCTTGCCAACACCATCAGAATATTCTGAGGTCCAAAACCACTCCCCAGCTCAAAATCTTCTCATTTAGAGTAGTGATGGGGGGACACACTACCAAGCCCATACTCCCTATTTACTCTTTTTGGGGGGAACTAAAATGTTACCACTTCATCTGAAACATGATAAATTGCACCACTTCTGGTTACCTTTAAAGAATTTTGAGCATCATTCATTATTATTTTTTTTTAAGCAAACCTCCATTGGTACTTATTGGTCAACTCCTCAAACTACATCTCAGATTAATTTCACGCATCCAGCTAATAAACTTAAATTGCAGTATTGAAATGGGGTGAGATTGCTTGGCTACTTTTGAGCGGTTGTTTTATGTATCTTTTGCATGACTTTTAAAAAAAAATTGTTAACAGCTATTGTTCTTCCACAAATGTCTCAAGTGATGTATCAGCCTTAGTTCTCCATTTCTGGCAATTACAAACATATAAATATAACATTTTTAGGTGCTATGATTTTTCAGTACTTATCCCCAGAAATGTCACCTTAATGGTAACATATGCGATCTGGCGCCCAAACTTTTATATTATTTATTTATTTTGTAAAGATTTTATGTTTAAGTGATGTCTACGTCCGATGTGGGGCTTGAACCTACATCAAGATCAGGAGTCACACACCCAACCAACTGAGCTAGCCAGTGGTGCCTAGAGCCCAATCTTTCAGTAACATTTACTTATAGATTATGAAATTGTTATCTTAAAAAGTATTATTTTGCACATAAATATCCATAAGGAGGCTAAAGACCACCTGACCTTGCTTTTGGCAAAAATGCATATTTCTTAAAGAGTTGGTGTGTAGTTCGTATTGTAGTTGGTCCATTAAAGCCCATCTGAAATCTAGAGGCAAGTCACTTTACTTCTCTGGGTCTGTTTTTCTACCTTCTGGTTATGATATATTATTCCCGTCCCATATAAGAAAAGAGGGATGGAGAGCCTCACTGCAATATGGAAGTATCCCATTTTGTAACTTCTAGGAAACATTCTCTAAAGCCTCTTGATCACTCATTATTGATCCCCTACTGTTTCCATATCCTACCATTCACTGATCACACTCTGTCTTCCCACATAGTCTGTGTAACTGTGTCATGCTTTTTTGAAACTCCTTCTTCTGCAATAATGAAAGCAGTTGTCATTTCCATTTGTTACCTACTTGTCATATGCCAGGCACTAAGCTCAGTACTTCCTATGAATCATCTCACTTAATCGAAACAACATTTTCTGGAATAATGATGATGATCACCCCTTTCAGATGAAGAAAGTCGTATTTGGGAAGGTTACTCTATGGCCTACAGTGACACTGCTTTGGGGGGAGGGACCTGAGCCCGGTCTATCAAACTCCGTCGCAAGACAGCACTTCTAGAGTTTGTGAATGAGAAAATACTACAGAACAGAAGTTAAAAGACCTAGTTTTGAACCAAGTAGAGTCCACATACAAAGACCACTTGGAAAGCTCTAAAAGTCAGGAGAAAGATAAACACTGCCTTCGACACTACCACCACCACAAGCCACTTCCTTTCTCTGTCAATGCACTTCTTCTTCTGTGAAATGGAAGTCTGGGAAGATGACCAGCTCTGCAGTGCATAGTTCTAATTTCATGAGAAATG